GGGGGGGGGGGGGGGGGTGGCGCGTGCCAGGCGCCAACCTCCCTTCATCACACCATGAGCACCCATCCTCTGAATGTTCAGGAGAGCGGCTTCCATTGGCTGTCGCGGTCGGTTGTGTTTGTCTGGCCAATGGGGAAGGCCCGCCGCCGGAGAGGGCCATACAGGGTAGGAGAAGGGGGGAATCTAGTGGTGGCAGCTCCAGCAAAAGGAAACCTTGTTTCTTGGACTAACCCTTACAGACCTAGGAGGAGGGATCTTGGGACATAGCATAAACCTTACAGTGTCTTCCATCTGAAATAATGTCCATATAATCATAAGTCCTTCCAGAATGGTGCAGTTTCAAAAGGAATTGGAAACCCCAAGGAGGGTTCACCCCTCTGCAACTGAATGTAGAACAAAGTGGTTGGGTCTACTTTGCCCGAAGTCTAGATTATGCTTGGAAGATGATAAATGAACAGAACTTTCTTACGGTATTAGGGGGCAGCTTCCCAAAGCTTACTAAGCATCACACATCTTGGTGGAGACCTATATTCCGTCTCCCAAGAGTGATTTGCAGGTTCAGAGTTTGCTTGTTTGAAACCAATTTTACTGAGGTACAACTTACATACAATAAAATGCACCCATTTTGTTTGCTTTTAAAACTTTCTCCCTCCTCTCACACATTTCATAGGCTAAGGCAATTTTGACATATGTCGATTGCACCGACATATGAGTTATTCACTAATGCCTTCAAAGTCAGGGATACCAGCAGCACACAAGAGCTGCCATCTTATTTGTGTGTGAGGCTGAGCTGCAGAAGAGACAAACGTGACTAAATCCATTCCCACTATGAGAAGAACAATTCAGTGCATCAGTGATAGATCTATATGCAAATTGGAATGTGATTGCTCAGCCAAATTCAAGTTACTCAAAATGGCTGTGAAAACTTGGGTCTTCTAGTTAATAACCTTTCTTAGATGAGTTAGCAGATATATTTATAGCTAACTCTTCTCATACATATGAGTCACTCACTAAACCCTAGAGTCACTCTAAAATCCTAGATTATACTATTCAATATTAAAACCATTTCGAGAAGGATTTAATCTTAGTTGGCTAATCCAAGGTCATCATTATGAATACCAATTATTATTGTACAGTGTGAATAGCAATCTTCATGTGCAGTATTTTGTTTTTTTGATTGGCTGATATATAAATAATAGTTTCCTGCATTATTCTCTTCTGCATTTGTAATGCTCTTGGTGAACATTATCTACAGAAGAGTAGCTATAAAGCAGGGGGTTAGGGGAGTAAGTATTAATTAGTCATACCCCAGTAGGTAGAGTGGAAAGGAACTCTGCCAACTCACAGCCAGAATCAGTGCTCACTTTCTGAGGGATATAAAAACGTTACATCCTCCTAAGACTATTTACATGTGTGCTTCCACCAAAAACTTGTCACTATGTCTGAGAGTTTATATATTTGTAAGGTAGAAACATTGATTTCTGGCATTATGGTATCTCAAAATGGGCTCCATACCCTAATAAAGAGCGTTTGTTACCTCTGTGGGGTGAGATTTGGGGGGAAATTCCACTTATGTTTTGGAAGTAAGGTTGTTGTGTGTGTATTGCTTTTGCAAAAAAAAAAAGATGAAATATAATTTTTCATTAAAGAGATTTTTAAAGTACCTCATTGCATCTATTGCAAAAATAAATGTGCTATACAGCACCTTTTCTTTGTGTTAGTTGTGCATTATTAAATGATTGACTTTCAAATACACGCAGCTGTTTTCATAGGTACCTGATCATCAGTTTGACACTGTTTTCCAAAGCCTCTGTCACCAACAGATATGATTTTGTATTCCATATTTATTATTGTTATTGGCTCTTAGAAATAGCAATAAATATCAATGTTAGGCATTTAATGTATTAAATAAATATAAACAATTTTAACGACCTATTGTGTAATTGGTATTTTCAATATTTATCCCCCAAAGCAGTCCTAGGTAAAAAGTCACCCATTGCCTGCACTTCTGAAAATTATTTTTAATAAGGGAACCCTGGATTATTTCCCCCCAATTAAGCCTGCTTCCTTGGTTAAACTTCCAAAAACGAGGCCTTTGTAATTTCATTCTCTATCCCTATTCCACTAAAAACAATAGGGGCATCTCGGTGGTTCAGTTGGTTGAGCATCTGACTCTTGATTTCAGTTCAGATCATGATCCCAGAGCTGTGGGATTGAGCCGTGCATCAGGCTCTGAGGTGAGTGTGGAACCTGCTTAAGATTCTCTCAGGGCGCCTGGATGGCTCAGTTGGTTAAGTGTCAGACTTTGGCTCAGGTCATCATCTCATGGTTTGTGAGTTCGAGCCCTGCACTGGGCTCTGTGCTGACAGCTCTGAGCCTGGAGCCTGCTTCAGATTCTGTGTCTCCCTCTCTCTCCCACTCCTCGCTCATGCTGTCTCTCAAAAATGAATACACATCTTTAAAAAAAAAATACTCTCTCTCTCTCTCTCTCTCTAGGGGCGCCTGGGTGGCTCAGTTGGTTGAAGCATCAGACTCTTGCTTTCGGCTTAGGTCATGATCCTAAGGTTGTGGAATCAAGCGCCCATGTCGGGCTCCACACTGAGCGTGGAGCCTGGTTAAGATTCTCTCTCTTTCTCTCTCTCTCAAATACAAAATAATAATAATAACTTCATCACCTACAAGATTAGCGCCAAACTCTTGCCAGGTCACACCTGGTCCCACCATGTTAGCCTGTCCTTATCTACTTCCTAGTAGGTATTTGAGGCAGTTGTCCCCTGAAAATATGCTGGGGTTTGTTTGTTTTATACCTCTGAGTCTTTTAAACAGCATGGTGCTTCCTTTAAAATACTTTACAAATATTAGTTCATTTAATCTTCAAAACAACAACCCTATGAGATTGGTAGGTGAGGAAAGTGAGGCACAATTAAGTGATTTGCCCAAGTGGTAGAGGCAGGATTCAACCTTTAGGAAGACTGGATCCAAAGTCAAGGAGCGCTTAACCACTAAAATTATTACCTTTGGTCCCAATGTATTAACCCTTTGAAATATCATTCCTCCTCCTCCACTATTTGAATTTTACTACTCATCCTTCCAGACACACTTCAAGAACCACTTGCATGAAGTCCTTCCGTAGCTACTCCATCCCATACAGTTTCTCTTGCTCTGGCTCTGAATTAGTCATTCTTATTACCTAAGTGAGAATTAAATGATAGTATATGTCATCTCCCTAACTAGTGACCACTTTATACTTTTCCACATGCCCCAGAGCCCCTTGGGTAGTACAGTCCAAGTGGCAAGTATTCATTAAATCCTTGCTAAATGAGTAAGTAACCCCAAACCCCAGAAAAGGCACGTTTATATTTTGCATAAAGTCAAATATTATTTCCAATTCAGCTTACATTTGGGAGAGTCAAAACACCTATTTACACTCCACCCCTCACCCTACTATTCCTCCCACAACTCTAAAGTCCTGCTGAGGATTTCTCGGTGAAACACGAACTCTTTTTGCCAGCATCCTTGCTCTCAAGCACAGAAGTCCTAACAGGAAACTATCCGCAGTACCTGGTACAGCATCTAGGACATAAAATTCCACAATATAAAAAAACGATATGGGGAAAGAGAGCACGGAAGGATTACTTGCAGAAAAAGGGACTGGGTGGGAAAGTGCCAGCAATTTGTAAAAGACGGAAGTCCACTCCGAATCTGGGAAGCCAGGTGCTCTGGCTCAGACCTATGGAAAAACTGGAAGTGGTATACAGCCAGAGAATCCGGAAGGCTTAGTACCTAGTAGTTAGCAGCCTAAAACAGAACAAAATGCGGTGCTATGGCCACGGCAGCAGCACAGGCCACAACTGCCAGGCAAAGTGGCTCCACGGCTCCCTCCTTGGACAGTTTTCCAAACTCGATCAGCGGAACACTTTACCACCAACCCGTTGAAACTTGCAAAAACCTCCGGCCGGGGTCTTTGCAATAGTGCGGGCAGCAAGGCGCATGCGCAAATCTCTCACCGTGCGAGCCAATCGCAATGCGGTGCTGAGTACTACGCCTGCGCAGTAGGCCGACAGTCGCTCTTCCCCCTTCTTCTGCTCTAGCTGGCCTGGGTAACCGTCCAATACTCTCCCGGAGCTGGGAGGAGGAGTCAGCGTGGAGTGCGTGTGAAGGGAGCTGGGGGGAGCGAGCCGGGGCCCACGGTGTTTGACCCGTCGGTCGGTCCGTGAGAAGAAAGGAAAGGAGGAGGTGCAAAGTAGCGGTTGCCGAAATGTTCCGGTGTGGAAGCCTGGCAGCGGGTGCCTTCAAGCAGAAGCTGACGCCCTTGGTGCGGACAGTGTGCGTCCGAGGCCCGAGGCAGCGGAACCGGCTCCCAGGTGACTGACCCACCCCGGGCAACCCCGACCTCGCAGACCAAGGGCCAGGGTTCCATAAGCTCCCTGTGCCTCGCAGCCCTCCCCCTGCCTTCTCCCCGGGAAAAACTTAACCCACTCACAGCCGCGTGAATTCTGAATGGCGGGATCCAAACCCTGAGTTTCACAAGCCGTGCCGACCTGACCTTCAAGGGCTTTGAACCAAGTAGTCGGGTTGAGGCCTTTTTCTAGGAGGGTTTGCCATTCAGGGATGACAGAACAGCTAGCTGTCTCGTATTGTCCAGTGCCACCTCCCGGCCACCCCTAGTCCGCCTTTTTAGAGCAATGAGGTCAAGTAGACTTTGTCATTTACTGATTGTGAGACTTGAAACAAGACATTTAAGCCCGATGCCTTAGTTCCTTCTGTAAATGAGGATATTACCTGCTCTACTTTCCAAACTCCAGATGAGATCCATAGATTTGAGCGCCCTGTGAAACAGAAGCAGCGCAGTTCAAGTAAGGAGTCGTTCGGTTGTGCGCCAGACACCAGGAGAGTCCTCTCAGAATTAATTTGAGATGTCTGGTCCGTGTAATTCTTGGTGGTCTTTAATTCTTCAAAGAAACAGTTTGCAGGGCACATTGTGTTTGTCCTCCGTGAAGTTGTTTCCCCAAATTTTAGAGCTGGAAGGGATTTTGTGGTAAAGTTCAACCCACTCATTTTATAGATAATAAACCGAGACACAGAAAGGTGAAATTATTTTTCCAAGGTCACATACCTAATTAATAGGTAGAGCAAAGGATAGTTTGCTGGTCTCTAGGCCCCTAATCCACTTGCCACAACTCCACACTGCTTCCTAAATTTGACCTCAAAAGATTAAGAATTCATCTGATTCTCCTTTAGCCCACCTTGCATGAGATATCCATGTACTTATCTGAGCATGTCTTGAGCTTGCTCATTTTCAACCTGCACAACTTAGTGGGGGTAATGAATTATCCACCTGTAAGAGGTGCTGGGTTTTTTAAAATCTGTTTTTGAATGATCACCTGGTGACATTCACATTTGCAATGTAAGGCGTTATCCTCGAGGCCTTTCCAGTGCAGAACCACCTTCTGGGTGCTTTAAAAATAAGATGTGGAAAATATTTCCCTTAGATGGTTAGTCTTTGCAAATGTGCATTTGAAAAGTTTTTCCAGTTGCTATGCCTCAAGAAAACGTTTCCTAATGGGTGTATCTGAGGGCACATCCTAAAACATATTGCTCTTGGAACTTAAAAACCTCTGCTTTAGGTTTTAAACTAATATGCCATCTATGGTGTTATCTGTATGGGTTTTATGCATTGAAACGATAGTGCTCTATGTAAGCTGTACATAAATTTACACAGAAACTTAGGTAAGCTGAAGATTTTCATCCACACTAGCCTTTCAAACTCTGTGTACTTATTTTATTTAAAACTCACAATTTTTACCAGTACTCTGAAGTCTGACCAAAAGTTCTCATTAAATAAATATGGATTTGTAATGTTAAATTGACTTATTAGATATTTGAAGGTGGTTGGTGATGTTAAAACTACTGAGAAATACAGACGTTTTTCCATTGCATGATTTTGTTTGAAAGCAGTGTGCTGTAGAATATGTTCTGACTTCTTGACATATCCATCCACGTCTTTGTATACACTTATTCTTTGTCCTTTGGCCAAGCACCAGAGTACAACATCATATGCCTTTAGAAATGGGTGGGGTGGGGTTACAATTTCAAAAAGAAATCATATAATTTTAGGAATTAACCCTGTTTGGTTAGCTTTATTATTAATTGTTTATAATCTGATTTCTTTTTCAAGTAGTAGCATCTGCCGTATGTTTTTGCATAGGTGGAGAAGAGGCACTCTTTATTTATATGCCAATTTCCCTTCGTTTTTTCCTTTTCTCCTCCCACCCCCATTTCTTTGTCAAGATGTTACCAAACTTTAAACCCACCTTGAAAGATCTCATCCACATCTGTCGCCATTGTCAGATTCATTTTCATTATATGTTACCTTTTGCCTTAAAACCATAATTGCTGTTATTTATTTACTTTATTTGGATGCTCTGCCTCTTTCCAGAAATAATTGAAGGCAGTTAATGGTGACTACTTTATGTCTGCATTCAGCACTGAGGAGCAGATAGGTTAGGTAATGGATATTTTCTGTTCTGTAGTATTTTATTAGGTTACCAAACATTGTGTTGCCCATGTGATCAAACTGATCACCAACCCTTGACCTGAGGGTCAAATGTTTGAACCATTTTTCTCTAATCAGAAGAATTCTCACCTCCTTAAGAAGGAAACTGGACTCCTTGTGGGCAAGGATCTAGAATTACTGGGAACTGCCAAATGACACTTTTTTTTTTTTTTTTTTTGAAGCCCAGAAGATGAGCCGTTCCCCACTCTTTTCTGCTGAGGCAAAGCTTTCCAGAAGAAAAATTTTGGCAAGTCAGCCTTTTCTGCATCCAGTTAATAAGTTATATTGTCTAGGCATTTTCTAACATTTTAAGGGAGTTGCAGCATATTGTAACTTTTTTCTAGATCATGTTTCCAAAAGCTGCCTGGTCTTGTAAATCAAAGAGGGCTGACCCCACGCCTACTGAATGAGAATGTCCTGGAGAAACCCCTGGGGATTTATATTTTAACAGGCCCCTTGATGTAATTCTTATGATCAGGCAAATTTGGGAAATACTGTTTTAAGGTTTAAAGAAAACAGACTGAGCAACTTTGAGTCTCTTGTGATTTGTGTTAATCCCATTTTCTGATACTCAGAACAGTGGCAGCCATTGTCCCTCCTATACTACTGCACTACCTGAGGCCAGGGATTATGTCCTATTTATTTTTGTGTCCTCAGTGCTTTGTACAGTCTCTGGCACGTGGTAAATTCTCAGTGGCAGAGCCCTAGTACTGTGAAGGACTTAACTTTGTAGAACAGAGTTAGATTTCTTTTTTTTGTCCTCTAAATCATTTTTCCTCTGTTGCCTTTCTTCAGAGTGGTTCACACTGCACTGTAGTTATTATTACTATGATTCGTCTAAAATAACAGCAAGGGTTTATGCTAAAGAAAGGGGGGGAGTTGATAAAGGGAAATAGTTGTCGCATTCCTTATAAAGAGATACCTGGCTACAGTGGACAGACCGCGTAGCTTGTCCTGTCTTGAGTTTTATCCATGTCAGAAAAATCAGTTTAACATTCAGAAAATAAGACTCAAGAGCATATAGACCTCTTAATTATTTGAGATTCCACGTGCCTCAATTATGTGGATGTGTTTTTAGAAAACACTTTCTGGGAGTATGGAAAACGAGATTATGAAATCTACAGAAATGAACTTGCCAATTTAGGTACTATTCTAATGCTAGTCTGTAGTTGTAGTTACTAAGAGCTTACTAATTTATTATTATTATTATTTATTTAAATTAAAGTCAGTAAACATACAGTGTAGTATTGGTTTCAGGAGTAGAACCCAGTTATTCATCACTTACATACAAGACCCAGTGCTCAGGGTCACCTGGGTGGCTCAGTTGGTTAAGCCTATGACTTTGGTGCATGTCATGATCTCATGGTTCGTGAGTTTGAGCCCCACAACTGGCTCTGTGCTGACAGCTCGGACCCTGGAACCTGCTTCACATTCTGTGTCTCCCTCTCTCTGACCCTTCTCCTCATGTTCGCTCTCTCTCTCTCTCTCTCTCTCTCTCTCTCTCAAATAAACATTAAAAAAATTAAAAATAATAAAAATAAAAATTGTTTAAAAAAAAAGACCCAGTGCTCATCTCAACAAGTGCCCTCCTTAATGCCCATCAC